TTTCTTATTTCGCAGTTTCACAGACTAAACACCCCACAAGAAATCAACAAAATGTACTTAAAATAATAAGAAGAAAGTTTTACATTTCTATAAATTATCTTTACACAGGATAGCCAACAACTCAATAAACACCACAGGTCACAAAAGGTCCACGGAAAAGTTACTTTTCTCAGTGAATGAAAAATAGACACATTAACTTTCCTCCACTACAGTGGGGAAAGTAGGATGTTTATCCCAATGGGATTCATCCTACTTGACTTCAAGCCCTGGAGGCACATCTTTCTCCACTGATTTCAGAGCATCCTGGGCAATCAGTCCTAACCTATGCACATCAGTGTAGCATCTGCTGTTAAGTGAAGTCAAGCCAGTCTCAATGGCAAATTGAAAGGAAAATCAAAATCAGATATAAATTTAATTACCAATGTCTGAGTACCCAGAACACTATTTTTCCTTTCTTTATTAATGAAAAATTTAATGCATATCTTAGGTTGCTGTAATTATTCATTTTTAAATGTACACTGTTCCCCCTTGAAAACAGGCGCAAGGGAGGGCCTGAAAGAGCTCTCTAAGCAATGACACAGCACCTAGAAACTAACTGACCCTGCCTCTTCTCTAGAACAGGGTGCACTCAGATGAATCAGTACAAGCGGAGTTTTTTATAGAAATGTGTATTTCAATAGTAGAAACACTTGTATTTTTTGAAGCCTCTTTCCCCAGAATAGCCCATGTACATGGGCTTCAAAATGCCTCTTCGCTTTTCACTGAAGCAGGGAGAAATACATGTTCTGTTGTGAATAGTTATGGCTTTTTTTTCCTTATCAACACAAAACACGACTGGTAATGTTGTCCCTTCAGTCTTCCTATTTGTAATGGTTAAAGGTCAGTCATCTTCACTTGCTCTGCTGCAGCCCTGAACTGCAGTTGCTAATGGGAGCATGAACCACTTGCCCATGCACAGAACTCTGCTCACCTTTGGCAAGGTGTCACAACAATAATAAAATGGCACAGCTAAAGGAGGTAAACACCAAATAAGTTTTCCCCATTATTTTACTATCAACTATATTCAGCTGGTAACTATTGTAATCTCAGCAGTTTTAATAAACTGCAATCTCTTCCCCTTACCACCTCCCCAGGATCAGGATGAGATTCTGCTTGCAAGAACATTCCACCTACGTCCAACAATTTCACTGTTATGCTTCATCACTGTTCTGCAGTATTTGATTCATCATCAGATACCAGAAAATCTTCAATAATATATTTCCAGTAAGAAAATATATTAGTCTTCATTACACTAATATATCAGGACAAAGTAGATGAGCTGCAGCAATTGTTTCCCTATTATCCTTGGAATGCTGCATTTTATTCCTATTCTATGGAATAACATAAATGTATTAATATATAAGTATAT